AATATGGTTAATTTTTATCAAAACCCATTCCAAATTGGAGACAAAGATAAAAAGTGGTAGTTATTTGATATTATAAATCGGATATCTCAAAAGGGTCGTAAGGAAACTACTCAAACTAGTAAAAATACATTATTGGCTGTAATAATAGGTAGTTGCAAGAAGACTTTCTAAAATGAAAAGAAACACAATTGTACTATATATATATATATATTGTAAAAGTCCGATTTTAGGGGTCAAGTAGGCCGCTTTGTACTGGTTTTTAAGGTGTTCGAACGGTCCGGATGAACGCAAACCGGTCGCTTTTTACTGGTTCGACCCGCCCTACCCTGCTATAAATATTTTTGTCTTTTCGCTTTACTTATATAAGGAACCACGTGTTTTTCTATTCTAGATTCGCCACTGTTTGTATGTTTTGTTCGGAATTTATTTTTTCACTCCAAAGGTCAATATAGTTTAGTTTTGTCATATTCTTCAGGTCACTTTCCTGAAAAAAGAAATATGAGGTCGCATCTGAAAACTACAAACAAAATTATGAGTTTTTGCAACATAAAAGACCCACTTACCTTGTTAGGATCAACATGATAGATGCACATTGTGTACTTGTCATTAACATTTGCAATCCTAAGAAGCTTTTTAGGCTGAATACATGAAGCGGATTTTTTTTTGTTAAACCCATTAAGACATTTTGTTTAGATTATTAAGTAAAAATCAAACAACTATATACATAGGTGTCCAGATAGAGCGATTAACTTATTTAGCCCATTAAAACAAACATTAAAGAAAGAGGTATTGATTATGGAAGATTAAAAAAAAACATGTAAATTTCAAAGTACACATTCGGAATCAATAAAAGAAAGAGATTCATAATAAAAACAATCACTTTGGTTTTATTCAGCTTTTTATCATTATTTAAAGAATGGGGTATTGATTATGGAAGATAAAATATGTCTTATTCACCTTTTCCTGTTTTTTTTCAACTCTAATTTTATAACACCCAAAACATTGAGTAATCATTTTTACTTTGTGGGTTATGAGGTTAAACATATGCCTATTCTTATCTATTTCTATTGGACTAGATATAATTGATTTAAGTCATAGGGAAGGAATCGAGACCTTGGTTTTACTTTTTTTTAATCAAATCTTGTAACTCAAAACCACATCTTTCACAAATAATAATAATAATAATAATAATAATAATAATAATAATAATAATAAATCACAAACCAAAACCTGAACTTGAAACACCTTTGCTTTACCCATAATAAAAAAACATATATGTTCTGAATAAAAGACATTTTCTTAGCGAAGCATAGAAAAATGTGAATAAAATGTGAACAGGGGAGGTAAATGCTTCCTGGCTTTTCCTTTGCAGCCCTCTTCAAATCGATCCACCTCATTTTACATAGGCTTAAAGAAAAAGACATTTTTACCCTTGTTACATACACTTATAAATACAATGGTAATATAGAATTTGATAGAGGAACCTTCACTAATGCTGTGCAACAGTTGCATTGTGTCCAGCTTACGATCTGATTTGAGATTCCATGTAACCGTAGCGTATGGCCCTACTCATCACAAACATTAAGAATGGAAAAGCAAACATGGTTAATTTAAACAATCCACATTTGTTGAACAAATTTAAAAACAAACTACTTTAAGCTATTACAAAGTAGAGGTTGAGTCAGATTAAACATTTGTGATCATGGAAAATTAATTATAGCAGATATGAAAAATACCTTGAATCAACACTAACATCTGAATATACGGATTTTTCAACTTCGTTATTAACATTAGCAGCCGAAGACCCAGGAGCATTAGCATTAGGGTTCCGTCCTAGCCACTGTTGTTGCGTGTTGTTTGGTTGTCCAGACTGCTGCCTCTGCGTGAACTGTTGTTGCTGCTGAAATTGATTTTGTTGAGTACGGTTTCGAGGTTAATGGTAGTAATTAGGGTTTGGACGGTAACTGCCAACACCACCACCACCGTCGTACACTCCGCCACTTCCACGACCGTTGCCAATACCGGGAGGACATCGCCGATTGTTGCTAATGCTATTATCCATTGGAAGATGACAGTGACGAAGTTGGTTTCTTTAGTAGAGTGATTTTGACTGTTGTAAGAAGACGAACCTTTGCCCAATATACGATCACTTTAAGTTTTTCAGATCATATGGATTTCTTCGCTAAACAGGGGTAGTGGGGGCTACGGCTTGATGAAGGCTTCAGGGCTTCAAGCGTGTTCGTGATTCCAGACTTCATCGTAGGAGAGAAAAAATGCCGAAAAACACTGGTTAACCCGATGCTGAACAGATTTCAGTTGATTATTAATGAAAGAACAGTTAATTACTGCAGAATATGGTGAAGTAAAGAAAGCACGACTCATTAGTAACCATCTGTAAGAAATCGATGCTAACAAAAAAAAATTAAATAAATAAATAATCACAGTATAGTTGTTTACGAACCTTGGTGAACAGAAAGTTTTGAGTAGAACTTGTAAGGAACCTTATAACAGGACCAGAGAACGTGGAAGCCCAAATCAAACACGAAAAACCCCTTCGTATATTCCTTTCAACATGGAACACACAAAAGGAAGAAAGGAGAAGTACAGAGGTGGTGAAGATCGCATCCATGGCGGTACTCAATCGCTTCTAAAGAGAGACCCTGACAGAGGGTGGAAGGATCGAGACGAAGAAGCAGTGGGAGATAGGAAGACGGTGGAAGGATCGGAAGTAAAAGGCGTAACTGTATGTGGTAACCTGAGGAACAATATCATGGTTAGGTAAGGGACTAAATTGCTTTAGTGACAAAAATCTGAAATTTTGCCAACCAAAATGAAAACTTATGTACCAATTTTACCAACCCTTAGGAACTTTAGTGTTCGATGCACAACTTTAATATATATATATATATAT